ACCGGGTGGGGGAGAGCGTTCCAATCGTTGACGACCCGCGTGCTGAACGAGTTACGATGGACGAAAGCCCTAGATCGAGGTTTTCTCAGCTTACATTGGTGCCATCTTGTCACCTCCGAGTTGTGCTTTGCGACGTTCGCCAGTTCCCCATCCGACGTTCGTCAGTCCTCCAGCCAACGTTCGCCAGTTCTACAGTCGACGTTCACCGGCTCTCCAGCTGACGTTCGTCAGTTCTCCAGCTGATTTTTTCCGCCTTACATTCGAGCAAAACATCCTGTTTCCCAGCTACAAATTCAACGAATGTTTCCATAGTCACAAAAAAGTTCAACACGTTCTTATAATTCCTTTCCACAACAGGGCGACCTTGGATCCAGCCAATTGTCACCAACAGTGTCCAAAACCATGAGGATATAGTTCGTTGACAATTTCATGCGCTGAGCCTTTGGGACAGATCGGCACAAAACCTTTGCCAATCGATGAATCGTGGTCGATAGCCCATCGTTTCATAACATGCTGACCTGGGGGCAGGTCAAAGACCACCAAAAACGGCCGAATCACCATGAAATCAGTTTGTAGACAACCACATGCTCCAAGACTATAGAACTCATCGGCATAAAATATTTACCAATCGATGTGCCATGATCGATAACCTGCTCTTTCCAGAGAATGGTGAACTTCGGTCAGGTCAAATGCTGGCAAGTACGCCTAAAACTCACAAAACACCTATTTTCCAGTTTTCTGTGTTTTTGGTGACTTTTGACGTAACCTAAGGTCACCATGTTTTGATTTACTGAGGATATCGACTATGCCACAACGTTTGGTGAAAGTCTTGTGCTAATCACTCCATAGGCTTGGAACTTTGGGTTGTCTGCAGTCCTGGTGTTCGGTATTTTTTTAGACCTTTGATCTGACCCAGGGTCACCACATTCTGGGAAGGATGGATTATCGACCAAGTGGCATCGGGTGGTGAAGGTTTGGGGTTGATCTGTGCCATAGGCTCGGAGCATGGGGCTGTGAACAGGTTTTGTCGACCGTTTAGTCCCGGCCCCGCTCGCTCACGCCCACGTGGCGTGGCCTTGGGTTGCATCAGCGCTCGCCGAATGCGCAGTTCATTCCGAGGAGGGCGGCTCCAGGGAGTGGACGCTGCGGCGCTGCTGGTGAAGAAGAGCTGAGCGAGCGCCGAGTGACGAGTTGTGGGAGAGTTGGGCCAGCCGCAGAGCAGAGCTGGTACGTACGGGCATCATCCGTGCATGTGCGGGCCTTGACCTCAGCGGGCGTCCGGTCTGGACGGGGACTGCTGAGACATGCGCGCCTGAGAACGGGCGCCCGACGGCTGCGGCGCTCCTCGGTGACAGTGCCCCGTGTTTTCTGGTGAAGCTGAAACCAGGGAGCTAGAATCGCTTTTTAGCTAGTTAACTGTCAAGCAACATGTCAACTTTTTAACTGTCAAGCAACATGTTCATACACCATGAAGTATATATTTGCGAATTAAAAACTTGTTCCTTTGTCCTATTGATACTATAAGTGTACAAGGTATGTGCGGCACGTTTCATTAAGTTTATTCATAAGCCCACTTTTTTTGTCCAGGCTCCCGTCGCAAACTGAAGCGCTAAGGTGCCAGAGACGGGCGAGCACTTTCTCAGTCTTTTTGCGCAATCAATATGAACAAACGCCGGTAACTTGTTTCGCACACGCGGAAGAGAGTGCATCCAGACATGCCGCAGCTCCTGTATCTCAAGTGGTTTGGCGTCGGACTATGGGACCAATCTGTGCCAGATCTGTGTGATCGCGTCTCAACAAGGCGTATCTTGCTCGCAACGGGTAACCAGCTGGCAGCTGGCCAAGAACCACAGCGACTGAAACAGCGGCGGTCGTGCCATGAAACTACGCAGCGTAAGATAAGCTGAAAGTCAGCAACGCACGGAGTCGAGTCCGCGGCGATGAACTCTTAAGACTCTGGCTTAGTGAGTTGATCCGTTGTGTGGATTAACCAAACTTGAACGCGGACCACTGGAAAAGAAAGATCGATTTGGCCTCGACTTGACCTCGAATAAATCCGTCTCCGACTCGGTCTCAACAAGTACGGAAAACTGGAACACGGACAAAATGGGCGTCTCATTTAAGCTTCAGATTTGCTCAACGGTGCATTTTGATAGCGGACTGCATGCTGTGTAAGCGACGGCTTAGTTTGATGCAGAGTTGAGTTGGGTTGAGAGAGCAGAGTTGGGCTGTTTTGATTGGGTTGATTGTCGTTTCAGCTGGTTACGATAAGGGCTGACTGATTTGGATGAGGCTGAATCTCTTTGCAATCAGGTGTCACAGCAAAGAGACAGTCATAAAGCTTTGTGAAAGTTGTTAGTGCATGCCTGCAATTCGAAAGCTATTCCACTGCTGGCTGGGCGAGACAAGAGGTAGAGGTGCTGCCATCTATGAGGTGCTGCCCCCTATGCAACAATGTGGTGCGTTCGGGTCGGTTTGGGGGTAAGCCTGAAGCTTGCTCCGATTTCCTTCTCGGTAATCTCTGTACCTGATAATCTGACATGATAAAGGGCTCTAAGGCCAAAAATAGCAGTCATATCAATAAACCACTGTCCCCGAATTTCCCTAAGATCAATTGAAACGCTTTGAGCACTGCTCGGCGAACGGGCGGCATCGGGATCACAAGCAAGATAAGGAAGTTACTAAGTTAGCTATCGATTATTAAGGTGTGTCAGCTGCATGTGTGCAAAATGTTCAGTTTTGCCTTTGGGAAGTCCAATGCCCATGTAAAAATGAAATATAACGTTAACGCGAAAATAAAACATCAATTGCTAGCGGAACGAGAAGATCAGTTAATTTTTCTAGAATGAATCAGCGAGGATGCATTCGAATTTCGATCCAACCTTAAAATCAGCGCGTTTTGTGCATTTTGGCCGCTGCAAGAGTCTGACTACCAAGAAGAGCGGATGCACCTCTTCAGCCAAAGAGACTCTGCCACATTCATCCAGCGGCGAAAGGTGTCGGTTGTCTTGCGCTATTCTTGCATCGCTCATGTCATTAGCCGTTCGCTTTCAAACGTTAAAGAGAATGTTCCACATTTGAAGATATTGAGATAAGCATCAGACATGATGAGGAAAGCTGAATTGTAACCATTGGTAAGGTTTCAAGGTTCAAAAATAACACTAAGTAGCTAATTTTCAATGTTTTTTTTTTTAAATCGTCCTTTTACGTCATCGTTTGATGCCATCGTGGAATCATGTTGTGACAATAGCAATACCTGGCAGTATCTAGCAGCCCAAGGCTGGCAGCCACACCTAAAGAATATCTGGAACCATTTATTTTTTCGTACATGCGTTTCTAGACAGCCCATGTAAACCACGTGAGGAAAAGTGCTGATCGATTCCGGTTGGGTCGTCATATTTCACCATATTTCCGGCGCCCAAGCGACGTATTGAAAACGCGTTTCCATAACCTAGCTTGGACTTTGGCATCGCCGCATTACTATGAGGCGTGGTGGATGTCTGCATTTTGTGTGGGTCTTTCTTCTGGTTTTAGTTATGCTGCTAGTGACTGATAATCCCTGCGTGGGGCGGGCCTTGGGTGTAGGTGTACTTTCCTACCTAACGTTAGAAAAAATCATTGCACACCATTCGTCGTGTTCAAGGCGGCACATATCGTAAATAATCTCAAAACAGGTAGAATCATGCTCCTACCTTCGAATTTCAATAACTTCGATGGCGGGCTCCCGAGCGCCGCGCGCACCGCACCGCCCGGACTCCCCAGCGCCGTTTCTGCGTTGCCGTTGCGTAAATACAATATTTCTGCGTACCAAGAACTGTACAAAATGTACGGGACCAAGGTAAACCATTCGTCGTGTTTAAGGCGGAACATATCGTAAATAATTTCAAAACAGATAGAATCATGCTCCTACCCTCGAATTTTAATAAATACGATAGCGAGCTCCCGAGCGCCGCACGCCCCGCACCGCACTGCCTCGACTTCCAAGCGCCGTTTCTGCGTTGTTGCGAAAACACAATATTTTTGCTTATCAAGAACCATAAAACATGTACGGGACCAAGGTAACAATAATAAAGCAACCAAAATCGCTTCTTATCGAGTTTAGGTACATTTATGAAACACGCAGGACAGAATAGTCCAGAACATATCCTAAACTGGCCAAACCTAACCTAACCTAACCTAACCTAACCTAACTGAGAATAGACCAGAACCTAAGCTAAGCTAAGCTAGCCTGACCTGACCTGACCTGACCTGACCTGACCTGACCTGACCTAACCTAACCCTAACCTAACTAACCTAAACCTAACCTAACCTAACCTAACCTAACCTAACCTAACCTAACCTAACTAACCTAACCTAACACCTAACCTAACCTAACCTATCCTAACCTGAGAATAGACCAGAACCTAAGCTTGCTAAGCTGGACTACCCTACCCTAACCTAACCTAACTAACCTAACCTAACCTAACCTAACCTAACCTAACCAACCTAACCTAACCTAACCTCCCCACCCTATATCCCCTTCAACCCAGCATCTCATTGGCATCCATGTTCCATGCCATATATAGGTGCCATATAGTGAGCTTTTATTTAGCTGCCATGTTCTCATTTTGCTTTACATTCCCCACCCAATCCCCCTGCAACCATGGTCCCGTTGGCGTCGAGGATCAAATTTCATGGATTCTTGCTACCTTGTCCCGGTACATTTTTATGGTTCGCAGTAATGTGACCCGAGCAGTAATGGCGCCGGTGTCGCGGGTGCTGTGTGTGTGCGGCGCTCGGGAGCTCGCCATCGTAATTATAAAAAATTGAAGCTAAGATCATTAATCTACCTGTTTTGTGATTATTTACGATATGTCCTGCCTTAAACATGACGAATGGTTTACTTTGGTCCCGTACATTTTGTACAGTTCTTGGTACGCAGAAATATTGTATTTACGCAACGGCAACGCGGAAACGGCGCTGGGGAGTCCAGGCGGTGCGGTGCGCGCGGCGGTCGGGGGCCCGCCATCGAAGTTATTGAAATTCGAAGGTAGGAGCATGATTCTACCTGTTTTGAGATTATTTACGATATGTCATGCCTTAAACACGACGAATGGTGTACGATGATTTTTTCTAACGTTAGGTAGGAAAGTACACCCTGACCGGGCCTTGCAGCCTGATCATGTTCACAGAGGTAAGTTTTGGGTGTAATCGGTTAGATTGGGTCCGGTTTAAGCGGTTATTGTGTGTCATAGCATTTGTATTGGCCATGTGTGTAACCGTGCGGAATTCTTAGTGCATACCCAGTAATTTTGCTCGCACTATATGGTACATTATATTGTAATATGCAGTAGTGTTTCTTTGTATTTGGAAATGCTGCTGTTTTGACTGGAAATTTACTTCTTTTAATTGATCTCCAAGTGGATTTAGCAAAGAAGTGTACTAACGTCTGATAGGAAGTGATATGTAGGTTAACTATATGAAGCCATCATAACATAAAATGTCTTCATTCAGTAAAAACCATTGTTATGCTGGACACCTACAAGACATCTGTGCTGGGGTCTTCTCATTGGGATGTGAAACTTTGGCGAGGCCAAATCACGCTGAATTTTCAAATTATTTGTGCGTGAAGAGATTTTTTGGCACATGTCTACCTGAAACTACCTTGGTGATATCATGATTCCTTGAAACATTGGCTATCTTGCAGTTGGAGCTGGTGGCACCTGTATGCTTAACTGTGAGCTCTTGGATTTAGAGGGTATGTGTCAAAATTGTTCCCATGATGTCACTGCTTTGCAGTACATAATCTACCCTTGTCCCAGACATGTCAAATGTTACGTGTGTTTTATGCAATCTGGGTTCATGTTGATGTTATCATCTGTTACATTTGAATAGTTTTCTCTCACAAATAACTAGTTGAATACATGTGCAAGATAGAACATAGCTTGGCTTTTCTCCAACATCTACATTTTTCAAGAAGCACAGTGCATTAAATGTCTACTGATTATTTTAAATGGGCACAAGCAGTGATGGCATCTATATTTAATCATTTGGACCTGTGTGCTTGAATAATCAAATATCACTGACTGCCATAAAATAGCATTCTGGCCTTTGTTCACAAAAACTGAAGGTGAACATGCTCATGGCTCCAGCATGCTTGCAACATGCTTTCAAAGGAATACTTGTAGTCTCACATGCCTATTTACAACTTAGATGTAACCATTGACCTGTAGACAGTAAAATAGGAGACTTTCCAACCCTGTGCAGGCAATAGGCACCAAGAATAAAAATCATTCCAGCTCCCACATTATATTGCATAATGCCTGGTACTAAAGGTTATGGCCACAGGAGATACAGATGGCTAAGCCAAAAGGGAAAAGAGCAATGGCTGTTTCAAGATCAAGGTGGCATCAGCAGTGTCAAAGCAAGCTATTTGTTGCCAGGGATGGTGCACAAGGAGAAGTTTAAAAGTGGGGCTGACTTGGGAATGCAGATGCTTGTGACTTCATTGTGAATGAGCAACATGCAGGCCCAAGAAAGTGGTGTTCCATATGAAACAGGTCTGGTACAAAATGTGGATATCAGTGGTAGCCATTGCCATCATCAATAGGTGTTGGAACTGTAAACAAGAAGTGAAATATTGCAAACATGAATGAAAAAGGGGTAAGAGCATGAGCTTAATGCTAAGGAACAGGAAACTCTAAATTACCTCTGCCATCACAGTACAGCCCATCACACGCTTCATGGGGATGCCACGCCCATATGCTTAGTGGGGAGGGTAACTGACACCACTTGAATGTAGCTCAATGCTTTCCAGTTAAGCAGAATTTTGGGAAGTGGGGGGGCAACCAGCCAGTTGTCACCACCAATGTAATATGTGTCATGTAACAGTACTCGTAACTGAACTGATCTGGGGCCAATCTGAAGTCGATGAGTATCAAGTGACCTGAATGAGTGCAATGCGTAAGTGCCACCGCATTCCTGGCATGCAACCTGAATATACCAGACCAGCCATGACAGTGGCGAGATAGCAATGTTCCTTTTGACACGTTCACCAGACAAGAAATTGCCCTCGACTTCATCCATCAAAGGGACTGTTTGCATGTCTGACTCCAGCTCTGTGGTGTTGAACCAGCTTTGCCTCGTTTAATGCATTTGGGTTGCAGCGTAAAGCGTGGGCGATGTGCAGTGGTCAATTGCCGACGACATATTTGGCGTAAGACGTGATATTTGTTGCGCTACAGAGGTGAATTTGAATACCAAAAGTCTAAATTTGCATTTTGCTCTATGTTTAACAGCTGCAAGTACTGCGTTTTAAATTTTAAACGAAAGCAGTGTAAGGTGCAAAGAATATCCAATACGATAGATTCTCGCTCGCTGCTGCGACACATGATGCATCACTTTGATGCACACAATCTCTGGATCTCTGCTTTTTCGATCAATGAAACTTGTCCCGCTTTGGGCAACTGTTAGTATAAGATGAATGCATCAAGCTTAAGCATTTTGCTGGTGGGGCATGTGCGCTATGCTGATGTGCTGTTGTGAATCATGATTGGTCACTCTGCATCTGGACATCGTCGTAATGCTTTGTCTCACCAGCCGACATCATCACGTAACATGGTATGTTGTGACGTCACTCCAGGCTGGCTGACGAGCAGCGCATAGAGCGGAAGCAATCTTTGATCCTGACGAAGCGGTGCAAGCTCCTGGAGGCGCAGGTCAAGATGCAGGTGGGTGTCTCCGACGGCCTCTGTCATACATTGACTCGGATCAAACTGTCACCAGGTCATTGTTATGGTTATGGTCATGGTTATCAATAAGCAAGTAAACTCTTGCACAAGCGGTGTGACCTTGAATAAGGTGTGGCTGTCGTATGCACGGGCAAACTGTTGAACTGACCGCAAATCCTGACACAGAAGGTGAAAGCATCGAATCATCTGCCCGTGATGTTGGAAACCCATTTGAATACTGTGGCAGAGTTGGCGTCATTGCATGGGAGAAGTGGGACGTCCCAAGAACATGACATGGATTTTGCTGAGATTCACTTCTAGTACGTGAGGAGCCATGAAGAAGACGAAAGTATCGAAGTAGGCCGCGACGAAATCGTTATGTAGCCGACATTTTGCTACCATTGCATTGAATTTGCATGACGTTACGCGCACCTTGGTTTCATGATAGGTGGACTCGGAATCGGTTGCCGCGTCGGCCATCTTTCCGCTGAGTGAAGGGAAATCGTTTTACCTTTGTAATTTCACTGAAACTCGGACTGGATTTGATTCAACGAACCGCAGTTTGAGTTCTAAGTCAACTCAACGAGTTGGTTGTTCAGTTTACATAACAATATTGGCACAGAGATGTCTAAGTGGTTAGGCAGCTGAATGAGAATATTCCACAGTTGAATATGTTAAAGCAAGCATCACATATGATGAAATATACTCACTTATAACTATTGGTGTACTTTTGAGAGAAAAAGACTGCTGTAGACAACATGAGTTCCATTTTCAGTAAATATGTTGGATGGTGCGTCATTGTTTGATTGTGCCATGGGACGTTTGTATGACGTTGAGGCACTGCCAAACTTGCCGTGCGAAAATTTCACTTATTTGTACTACTTATTCGTCGAGATAGCAGCACGGGCTGGAAGTGTTTGCTGATCCAAACATTGTCACGTGTTCATATCTTAGCCCTCTGTCCTGATGTTATTGTTTGTTTATTCGCGGATTTAAGATGTTTGCTTGCATTCACTCACTGAGTTATGGCTTTATTTGTTTACTTGTATCCACACACTCGATTATAGCGTTATTCTAAAGATACTCGATTACAAGTCCCATTTTCTGTGCTAACTACCGGGTGAAAAACTTAGTCGGACTTCTTATATGATGTAGCACGAAACGCGTTTCGTGACTAAGGCTTACATTGCTTACTTAGCATTGTTGAAGAGCCCTTGATTTTTGAGGCATTTGGAAATCGCACTCACGGACGCCAGATGTGGACGGCTGGGTGATAATATTCTTCCTGGACTTGAACGCCGCCTGACCTGTGGGATGCCAGGATTTGAATGACGTTCCCACAACGTCATGCATGCCTGAATGGCCTTGAAATAGTCTGTACATCTTCGCGGGCGTGTAGCTCTGAAACTAGAGGGTTTTACGTCTTTTGAAGATCTGGGTGATGAACTTAACCAAGTGATCTGCAACTTGGCTATTTCAGCGCAAAACCCCTTACAAATGTGGAACACTCCCTTTAAATTCATACCAAATGAGCCGCAAGCATAGATCGCCATGTTTTTGTTTAAACACATGCCCTGTTTAGCATGTTATGAAGTCACGAGCCGGTTATTTCCTATACGTTACATCGGAATCCAGCCATCGGAATCATTTTCGTTCTTGACCCATAACTTGTTGAGTCGAATCCTGGTCTACTCAAACTTCCACTGATTTGCTCAGTCAGTGAGAACCAGCACCGTGCGTTGTGGGTGTCGTGGGCCACAGTCGGCATTGATGCTGCTAAAAAGGTATCAAGCACAATGCTGACGTAAGGAAATTGCCATCGTCGTGTAGGTGTTGTACCAACTGGATCGTGCTGATGATTCGAATTACTGATTTGGTGTGGGCTTCTCAAGTTGACTACAATGAAACGTTCCCAGGCAACACCACGTGCCAGCTTTGTGCAGCTGCCGGCGGAAATGCTGGACCTCATCCTACAATACCTCAGGTCCACACAGTTCCTGGGGATCCGCGGAGGTACGTAACACAGGCGACGGGTTATTGTGTGGCGTTGACACCTAAACTTCATCTGCAAACATTCTTGTCAGTTGTGTTTTGTGTGTTCCTAAAAAAGCTAGTGAAGAAATTTTCAACCTTGATCTCTGCGTGCAATTGGCTTGAATACACTTGAGCACACAATGTTCAGCACTGGTGTCAGGTTGTCAAAGACTGTAATGCAATAACTACCACCTTAAAGTTCGTTAATGTGTTCATGGTATGTGCTCATTGACTTCGAAATGTGTTCAGGGCTTTCAAACGTCATGCCATCGGGTCTCCAGCCAATGATTTTGAAACCTTTTCATCGTGTAAATTTGTTGTTTGAATGAACAGGCCATTGAATTCGCAACTAATTAATACATAATGAGGTTTCATTGAGTACAAAATTGTTTTGGACATCAAAGTCTCTCGTGTATTAGCAACCATACATATTTTACCTTAGGCATGAAAAGGACGGGGAGGAATTTCGAGTCAAGCGTAACGGAATCATTGCAAGAACAAGGGTGGGACGTCGACTGCGTTACACTCCGGTCGAAAATCATGAAAGCCTCGGAGTTTTGAAACATTAAAGCCGTCTGGCGTTGGCTTTCTCTCATGCCAAGTAACACGCTCTTCTTTGTTTTGCATCTCTGGCTCAATCCCAGGTCAGCCAGATGATACGCTTAAAGGGAATGTCTCACATTTGAAAATATTGAAGTAAGCATCAAATATGATGAAACAAGGTTTTTACAACTATTTGTATGCTTTCGCCCGTAAGACTGCTCACACAGCAAGTTCTGTTTACTACTTCTCCCTTCATATCCTCATATCCTCCCTCCCTCATCATCAACATCTCCCTCCATATCAAAGATGGCCACCACTGCTGGTGTTGTTTAGGTCAAAGTGGGCGTAAATGATCCTGCAAGTGGGCGCATAAGCCCCCACAAACAGCATGAGGCCTCTGGACAATGTAATAAGGCTTAAAATTTCCAGTCAACAACTTTTCTGATCATTGAATGGTTTTTTCAAGTTCTGATAGGCCCCTGCTTTTGCTTTTGCTCACAATTGTTCTTGGTCGCCTGGAAGTCCAGAGATGCCCAGTTTTGTTGCGCTTTGTATTTCAAAAACTGCACCTGTTCGGCCGGCCATGGGGCCCCTTCGGAGCCAATTGGTCCCTTCAGGGCGCAAGGGGGGGGGGGCGTGGCCCCATGCCCCCTCCCCGCTCTGGATCCGCCCCTGGGTGCTAGGGCCGTATAGCTGAGTGCTGTCTCTCTCCCACCCCTACCCACCTGTCAGGGGCTACACCCATGGTTGCGATGATGGTCCCGCGCGCACATTGCGGACTATTTCACTCGCGCTAAGTTCTGATCAAGTGACCTGATTTCACTGACAGCCTCACTTATCTTGAGCTCCCAGGGACGTCAAACTTTCTAAGTGACTAGGGGAGGTGACTGATGGTTCAATAACCTAATTTCTACCTGTAGTTTTGTTTCTCATCTGACTGATCCCGCTTTATTTTGATAGATGCCTAATTGTATTGCTGTGGCCAACTGCGCTCCTCCCCCTCCCCTTCGGCGAACGGTCAATATTAGCTCTCCTGGTAACAAACCAAATATGGGCCATTAATAAAGATGCATTGATTACCTGTCTCAATGTGATGCAATAATTGCGACGGCGCACTAATGTCAAGGTTGCATACTCCTACAAAACAAGGAGAATAGGAACATCTCGGACCATTATAAAGAAAACTGCAAGGCGTTTTAAGTTGTCGTGCCTTACCAGTCACATATCACTCCCATGAAATCAACGTTCTAGCAAGAGTTGGCAGAACGTTGGCCACAAGCCTTATGGATTGCGGTTATTGTGATGAGCCTTGTGAGATCCGCGGTGAGCCTGCACCACATCTTCGAAAGACCTAGGGGGCAGATTGGAAGCGTTCCGCGTCAGCCGCAATGAGCAGCTTTGCGTGAGAATCTATGGTTCGGCTGGTTTTGGCATCGTAGATCCTCTTGTCTCTTCCTTACGTACGATGTCTGCCCATGTTATCGGTCATGGCGGTTTGTAGACTGGTTAGCCGGCTATCGACTGCTTCGTCAACTGTAAGACACGTGACTTGATGTAGCGCCATGGATGTGATATTGATTCTCTTTTCTGAAGTCGTGTGCTGGTACTTTCCTGAAACATTAGGCAACGTGAATTTGTAAGAATAATCAGCATACGCAGATAACAGTATCGAGCCCCGAGAAGCTTACCTCGGTAATTCGAGAGTCCTGAGCGGGCGCTTCATGAGAGGCGGGGAGCAGGACTGTACGTCACTGGCACCTGATTCCAACCCACTGGCCACAACCTCTCCAACCTCTCGCTTTATATCCAAGGTGGCCACCACTGCCAGTGATGTTTATGTCAAAGCACATGAACCGTAGGTCCGTCCACCGAACCTTCTTATCTACTTTTGAGCACACGACAGTCGTAGCTAGTACGGCGACCGGGGGCGCAGCCAGTCTTCGCAAGGGGAAAGAGTATAGGGTCGACAGAGCGTCCCCGGTTTTAAAATGTCATTCCCCTAAAAATCGTAAGTGATTTTTGCCTTCACCCATATGTCAAACAAAACACAAGCCACGGCAAGATGTCCTCGTTGCATTTTGAAGTGAATAAACTGAAAAACAGGGTTGAATGACTACATAGGATAAACCACCGGCGCTATTCATGCTACAATGGTTCAGTGGACTCTTTCTGAACCAAGAGCAGCGAGTGGCGCCTAACGCTCCGGCCCTTTGTCGGTATTTTTCTGGATTCAACATAGATATCGAGGGCCCATGAGCGTAGATTGCGGATCACGAGGTCAAAAACTTACATTGGCATGGTGTGCTGTTGTTCAACCGTCATTTGTAGTCGATTAGTCCTACATTATGTAGCATATTTTTTAATGTGCACGCTCGCATGTCAAACACCCGGACGCCCGGTGTTCCAGTCTCCTTAGGCCTCACTGCGTCTGCACCGTGACTAATGCCAGGCGACGGACAACGTGCAGACGGAAGGTTACATTGGTCCGAGAGTGTCAACACAATAGGCCCTGTGGCATTTGAGGTCCCGTCCCTGTCCATGTTCAGTAAGCGTTCCCCTAGCTGGCTCGAGGCCCCTTGCCAGCACCGAAGGTGCTGTGGGTCCCTGACTGACGCAGGACCTCCTGTTACTTCAGTGGCTCCTACCAGCGCCAATCTCGGGCCCGGGCCTCTTTCTTGCTTGAGAAATGTGTCCCCACGGCCCAGACTGACACGCATCCAACCGTTCTGTGTTGGTGGTCTCTGGCTAAAATAGACGCTGGCATTGCCGTAAGGGGTCTACAATCGGTACAAGAGGCCCAATGACTGACATTTGAGCGCCCTGTCCTTGGAGCCGGGGTCCTTAATGTCACCTGCAGCAAGCACTCATGCCCTCCGGGCCCTCCATTCGCGCCCTTACACCCTATGAGCCGTATGCTCCCCTTGAACACTGCCGGTGGCCGAACAGAGGTCTTTCCCGACAAAAGCTGCACTCTTAGGCCCTGTAGGCCCCGAACCGACACTGGAAGGCCTTTATTCACTTAGGGGCCCCGACCCATGTAAAGCGCGGGCCGCGGACTTCTTCCTGCAAGGGAAATGGGCCCGCACGTCCCGATCAGCACGGAACCGACTGTTCAGTGCTGCCAGACAATTGCCCCTCCCCCTCCCGCACATTTCCTTCCCCCCTTCTTAAGTCCTCAAGACCAAGCCCTCAAGACCGCCCAAAGTAATGTTAGTGTGGGCCGTGTTTGATATGTTGCCACCACACACCTCGCTCTTGAAGAAGACCAACCCTACAGCAAGTGCGAGCTTTGAGCGCGTGACGTATTGGTAAAAATTGTGCTGGCGAATGTCAGAGATGGGAAGGCCCAAAGTGTAGTATAAAATATGGCAGCAACAGCGCACATTTCACGACTAGCCATAGAATTCCCATGTTAAGAGGACCTTCTTCAGGCCCACGACTTTCTAAATCTTGAACGTATATATGCATAAAAAGCGCATGGAAATGAAGCTGGAACTATTCTCTTTCGATTTCCAAGATCAAAAGTGCGCGCCGCGGTACTCATTTTCGAGCTATCAGGCAAAGCGTGGACCCATGCACGCGCCACGATGTCCAGGCGTGGGATCGAATCCCGCTGCCGCCAGCTCTTTGAAAAGAGCAGAGTTGAGATGCTCAAAAAAGATTATATATATATATATATATATATATATATATATATATATATACATATTATTATGGCCTGAAGATGCATCTGCTGTGCTGTGAAATGTGCTGCGAGCTATTACATGAAATACACATGAGATATTTTTCTATCTATCAAATATACCTGACAGGTGTTATGCAGCCGTCGGGCCACATGCAACAGCGTATGGCTGGGGCGCGTAGCATTATTGTGCCTGACGCATGGAACCTATCGCGACGGTAGCGGTCCAAAGCTGGCCGTCCAACGCGCCCAGAGGTAGGACCAGGCACTGTGTTAGGTGATTAAGTTGCGATGCTGGCGGCCACTGCTGTGAAGGGCCGGCAATGCCGCCTCAGGACCAGCGCAGCGACGATAGGATAGCAACATTGCAAGCACCGCCGATTGGGAAGCAGTTGTGCTTAAAAGTGGGATAGTAAGCATTATAATGATAAGTGCCATAATGGCGAGCTGTACTGCACAAAGGCCCTGATAGGACAAAATATATAAAACTTCTTTGATCTTGAAGAGCTTAAACACCTGACAAACCTATGGCCTAAGTAATCATGATCCCTAAAACCATTTGGTCGAAGGGTTTTTGGCATAAGGTGAAAATAAACATTTTAGCACTGGCTCCACTGAATAAATGAACCTATAAAAGCTTGCTTTCACATTACAAAACCTGCAAAATCAATATTTGGAACTTCAATGCGACATAGTTTTTTTTCTATTCCTCATCAAGCCTTGTAATTTATAACTTTAACTTTCATTCATTGATCTCAGAGTAAGAAAGATACACCTAAGCAGCTGAAGTGAAATGGGCAGCTTAGACAGATTTGGAAGGTGTGTCAGTACCTGAAACACATGCAGCCTTGGCTCATGGCAATACAAACTATCAATGGACCTTAGATTGCCCCAAACCATGCCCCAGTTATGCACATTTTTATATAAATGTAATATGTTGTATTTATATAATATTAATGTACCACCTGGTACTCAACATTTGCTCATCTTGTTATGAGGGAATTGTGTTGATATAAATTATGCAATCATGTTGTATAACAGATACAGTGCTGAGGATAGGATTACAACTAGCATTCAGAATATTGCAATATTTGACACAAAACATCAGCTTCTATAAATGTCACAAATCCAAAAACTTCCATGGCATGAGACATTCTATAATGTTGAAATTAATTTACTAGCCATATATCCTACATGATCTAATTATTTCAGCATGAGACTAAGCATAAATCATAAAGATGATTTATCTCCCTGACTAACTGTACATCTTGGGTACAACACAAACCATTGCACCCATTAAATATATTAACTACAATATTTGCTGCTTACATTGAATACATTTACCAAGCACAGGTTATTGTTCAATGCCAGGTTTATGTTGCATGCAGTTGCATGGGGTGATTGCATTTTGTGATGGTGGCATCCTCCAACAATGTTGAAATGCACTAGCAAATGTTGGCTTGCCCTTCTCATATTGTTGCTAGAATATTACAAAACAAACTAAGGTGAAAGTGACTATCACATCATGATTGCCTGCTTTGGGCATTATTTGATGACATTGGCTGGAATTTTGAAGGAAAGGCACAAAACTACAACTTTAAATAGCCTTGAATCAAAGTGAGATGTCCAGACACAATGAGAATCACACATTAGGTGGAGGTGAGGTAGGGTCGCCATCTGCACAGCCCACCGATATGCCACACATTGATTCTTCTGATGTGTAAAAAACATAGCTTATAATTTCATATAAGTTTAATTATGCCAGAAAATTCAGCCAATTTTTGACATCAGATGACCTTTTCTAAACAGTGCAGGCAGATAACTCCTTTGGTGAAATGTCATATCAGGTATGTGCACAACATTGCATCATACCAAACATTTTCATTACATTAATGTCTGTCATGTCTCAATAAACACATCTAATGCAGCCACACAGCTGTGCTGGACTGACATAATTACTGGTTGGCCCATTTCATGGGTGGCAACGGCGCTGTGGACAAAGGCTATCGATGCTTATGTGGAACATTCAAATGCCAGTCAGACAACAATCTCAATATTCATGTATTAAAAAAATCGCAAGACCCTTAGCTCCAACATAAATATACCTGAGCGCGCCTTGGCTAATCACTTCACATGCGGTATTCCACAAGCATTCAACAGCCAGAAGCCTAGGCCACAACATTCATAATTGGCAAGTGGTGCAGTAACTGAATCATTACATTATCAGTTTTGCTGCAGAATGTTTAAATGAGTCATGATATGTTAACTGAGACATATGACTTGGCAAAGAACAGCATACATCTGATTAGCCCAGAGGCATCGGAAATTACTTGAACACAATCTGATCCTCCAACCACCATCCCCAATGCCGCACCACAATTCAAGTGTTGGGAGGGCAGGCGCATAACTTCGCACACCCCTTGCTCGGTCAGCTCGTTTAGTAGCTCGTCGCCCAACAGCTCGGTGAGCTCCGGGCTGTAGACGACCGCCTGGATGGTGTTCAGGCGGTCTGCGATTGTGGCTGTGACCGCCCGCCCCAGAAAACTGCTCAATTTGAGCAGGGCGTCTGCGTGACGCTCCGAAAAACCCTAACTAACAGGGCTCCCGAGCGCAGCGGCTCGGCTCCATCCACTTCACGGGTGCGGAGCTCGCGCTCCGACGAATGGCAAAGGGGTTCGTCGTGCGGAAACTTTTGCCGTCAACGTTTCTGATGAGCACGAAGCTCGGTCCTTCGGGAGGGGAAGTGGAGGGGGGTAGACAGCCCCTCGCCGGGCCGGTCGCCGGAGGGGAGATGTTGATGACATCTTGGGTCTTAACCTTAAACTTAAATTAACTTATGAACTAGTTATTACAACGACTGAAAGCTAAATAGCACATTTCCGACACACATTAGGCTGCCATCAGCACAATCGCGAACCAGCCACCCGCCCCGTCGTCCTTAGAGCGGCTGGCAGGTGGCGGCACTTCCTAGCGGCGGGAAGGGGCGGAGCCTAAATTATGGCGTGAGCACGGGACGCTGAAGGAGAAATATACTGCTTACTGTTTTGAAGTTAAGGTAGGCGAGACGGTATACCGTGAGCGCTACCAGGGCAATGTGTGATGGACTTTTAACATAAAATATCACCACCACATTGCCCAACGACAGAAAACTAACGCAGAAACGGAGCAAGCCGAGACACCACCACCGCGACGCACGCCGCAAACCGGAATTGTGCGACTGAGAAATGTGATTATACTTAATAGCCACAAACCAAAGATGTCGATAGTACAGCACTGCCAACTTTTGGTACAACATTCTAAATCTGGTGTTAATCCCGATTCTAGTATACCTATAGTATGTGTCAATACCTACTAGTCAAAACTTGAGTACCCGGTGTTATATTGCCCCGGTCAGAGAAATGAGAAGCAGTTTGAGGAAGGCAGTGGGGAAGGAGAGAGGCAGGGCGTTCAGCATGTACTCGCAATCTGTTGTAAATGTCATCTTTTAACGTGACAGCATTTAGTGTTGCTCAAAATGCAGACGCAAGTTTTTTCGCGTTGTTCAATTGTGGAAAAATCAAGCCCAGCGTATGATTTCTAAGGAGATCGCAAAACGATATGCCGAAGATTACCCTCTTACCCTCCAGATCGTGCAACGTTAAGGTAATGATCACGCTAAATGGTGGCATGGTTGACTGGTGTCAGCTTCAGTCTGGGATCATTTGCTGTACTATTTTCGCGGGCCCCATTTGCATTACGTACTGCTTTGTCGTCGCAAGGGTCCAACTTAAAGCCCTCCAGTTGTCGAATTGTTATGTTATTTGTCTATGGGACTGCTTGACACGGATTGTTTGCGCCGGTCTTGAGAGCAGGAATGACAGCACCAGCTGCCAGCGACCTGGCCGCCAGCGTGAGATCTACTCTCACAGGGAAGTGGCAGTGACGTGTGTTTTCAACTCACTGTCACGCTTGCGCGACAAACGTTGTCACTGGCTGGGTGTGCTGACCGGTGGAAATGTTTTTGTCGCACATGAACGTCGTCTGCGCCGCTGCGGTCCGCTGTACAATGCGCTCTGTCGGTGCCGGCAGTGTCACGTCGCTGGCGCCAGGCAGTGGACGACAGTCTGGAGCGCCGCCATCACCTTCACCTTACCGGAGACGACGTGCGGCACGCCAACGATGAGCGGCTGGAGCGACTGTTACGCCGCATGCCGTCCCTGCGGCGGCTCACAACCGACCATGACTGCTGCTCACCGCGGCCGCCGTTATCCGTTGACGTCGTCTGTGAGTGTTTTGTGTGTTGTGTCAGTGTGAGTGCGACAGACGCCTCTAAAGCGTTATCATTTAGTGGCGCATGCCTCAGTCGCGGTGTTATCGGACGGAGTCTGGGAGCGAAGGCAAAGGCTGCAGGACGCAGCGCTGTCTCAAACTGAAACCCGTGTGTCGTTCCAGCCCGGCTCTTAGGACACATGGTAGAAGTGGATTTGCTCCACTTCGACGCGGCCCCACAGCCTCTGGAGGGGCTGTGGACCAGGTGTCCCCGGCTGGGGGCTGTCACGCTGCCTCGCAGGTGTGCCGAGCAGTGCGCGGCGGTGCTGCTTCGCCGCCTGCCGTCCCTGCGGCGGCTGGACGTGGCGTGGAGTGACGTGCTGGGAGAGTGTTTATCGCTGCTCCCCGAGTCATTGGAGGCTCTCTCGGTGGCCTGGTGTCGACATGTACAGCCGGCCTGGCTGCGTCAGCTGACCCGCTGTCCTCGGCTGCGGCGGCTGGACGTGTCAGGTGTGAAGGGGCTGCAGGCGGCAGACCTGGCGGCGGTGCTGGCCGGTTGTCCACAGCTGGAGCGGCTGACGACGTGGGAACTGGAGCCGGCGCTGGAGCTCTGCCTGCCGCCGACCGGCCTCCCCTCCCTCCGATACCTGGACGTAACGTGGTCCGGTGGAGTCACCGACGCCACGCTGCAGCGGCTGCCCGACCTGCTGCCAGGCCTGCACACACTCCACACAGGCGGTGAGCATATTCCACATCACGCAGTTTCCGTGTGTTCCGTAGTGGCAACACGGTGATGGTGCAGCTGAAGTGACGCATTAAAGCCAGCTGTTCCATATCAATAGGAGACGCTCCCGACCCCGCATACCGTGGCCTCGCCATGGAGTTGCGAAAGGCGGTGTTGTTTACAGCACCAGCAGTTCAGCCGCTGTTAATGTTCTGACGTCATCTGGCGATCACGTGACAGTGCTGATGCATTGGACCCGGTCCGGCCTCTTGTGTGTTTCAGTGTGTGGCGGGGTGACGGCTGTGGGGTTGGACAGCCTGCCGCGGCTCAGACAGCTGTGTGAGCTGGACCTGTCCCGGCTCACTGTGACGGACTTCACACTGGACCGGCTACACGGGCCCGGTCTGAGGATGCTGAACCTGTCCGGGTGCCGGCCTTGTTCAACAGATGGTGTCACACGGTGAGCTCACCGGTGGGGGACGTGACGAAGGCGATAAGATGAGGAACATTGCAAACTGGCGGCGTTTCACGTGGCCCGGACATTCCGGGAGGCTGCTTGTTGTTTAGCTCTCGGCGTGTTTCTTGCCCATGTTGTTCAGCTCTCTGCGTGTTTCCTGCCCACCCGAGCTCAGCCGAGACTGCTGATATGTGACCTCGATCAGTAGTCTAAGCCTGGCCGAATACGTGCCGGTGTTGAACGGCCAGTGAACTACAGCCTTAATGAACCAGGCTGTGCCCTTCCCTGCGGTGTGCTCGCCCTGTCCCCTCTGCGTCGCCATCCCTTCGTAGGTGTGACCCGGTGCCGGCCCATACCGGTGGCCGTAGAGTCTGCTCCTCCGCAGCTGAGCTCACCACGAGACAGCACTTGTGCGTCCCGCTCCCAGGGCCGCCACGTGGTGCAGGCCCCATGTGGCCGGGGTGTTGCGGCTGGGACGGGCTCTGACGTCACACCGGGCTCCCCACTGCGTCATCCGTCTAGTAAGAGCCGGCTGCAGGGGGCGGCACCCGCTGTTACGGCGGCGGAAGCCTCGCAGGCTAACGTCTGCTGACGCTGGCGAACAGTCGATGGGGCGCGTGACGCACCGCGGAGCACGTAGCTCCTTTGTGAGCCCTTTGTCCCGCTATGTGCCGGTGTTCTGGGTGTGACCTGTGCTGTGCTCTGTTGCAGGCTGGTGCTCGGCTGTCCGTCACTGACGGTACTGGGGTGGTGGGTGAGGCCTAACATACGCCGGACCAGGCCCCTGGTAGACAGCCTGGTGCGCCACCTGCCCCCGAACCGTGACGTCATACTGGAGGTCAACGGTAGGTGGATGTCGCACCCGCTCTCCTCCGTGTCGACGGACGGAGCGAACTGAGCGTTCGTTGCTCCGTCAATGGGATCGTTGATGATGCGCCCCAGGCTATTTATCGGAGGCTGGAATTGTCGCACCAAGTCTGGTCCGACGGCTAAGCTCCGAGTCAGCTAACTAAGCAGTGATTGCACGTTGAAAATGCATCGCACCGTATCCTCGTCGGTGGCATTTGAACCGGCACCGCTCGCGTTAGACGTACCTCCAAAGGTGACTGTTCTTGACCCCGCTGACCCTCGGCGATGTTGGACCGCTGTTGGTGACGTCATGTAGCGTTGCACCGTCTGGGTGACCTTGTTACCTTTCATTGTTACACTGCGCCCCCGGCGGTCGCTTGCTCACGTGGCACCTGGGTTGCCGCGGTGAGAAGACGGAGCGCACGACCCAGTGCTGCGGTGACCGTTGTTTGTGTGAGCCAGCCGCCGTGTGTACTCGGTGGCTGATGTCGACCCACGCTCTGCCGGCAGGCGGGGATCTGCAGGATCTGCAGGATCTGCAGGATCTGCTGCGGCCCGGCCCGCTCAGCCTGAGGGAATATAAGTCATGGTGAGCATCACACAGGCCACAGTGCTGCGGCCCGGCCCGGTCAGGTGCGCCGCCACCGTCCGACACGCCACAGCCACGTGACACCGGCCCACCGACGCATGCCCTCCACTGCCGACGCCACGTGTCGCCACGTGCCTGCACATGCCCGCCGCCATGCCGTGCGGCACGGCCGTGCTGTGTCGGCACGTGCTGCAGTCGTGTGCTACGAGCGGCAGCTGGCTGGGGAGAGGCGTGTTGAGCAGCTTGTATGTGCAGCCCGAGCTGTGCGGCAGTCAGTTGCTGACAGGCGGCTCGTTGGCGAGGTCTGACTGTGTCCCAGCCGGCCGCCGGCCGAGCGTCTGCACTGGGCCGCCCCCGGTTGGCGGGTGAGCCTGTGGCCGGCCCGTGCCTAGTCTGCACGCTCGTGTCACCGGCCCGTCCGCAGGCAGTGGTCTGCTGTCGCCTGTGGTGGTCCGCGGGCCGCCCGTCAGTCGCACGCGCACGGAAAGCGTGACGTCCAATGGCCGCACATCACCGAACACCGCACACCTGCGTCCCGTCCGACTGCTGGCTGCCCGACGCCACTGGTGCAGCCGTCGCACACATCTGACAATGCTGCAGCCACGGCTACACGGCGATAGTGAACACATGGCAATGCTGGAGCAGCAGCGAAACGAACCCGAGACCAGCAGCGCGGTAACTGGCCTCCCCGGGGCTGTTGACCAATGGTCGCTGTGCTGCAGATCGCCGACAACCTGCTGTCTTGTCATTGGCTGAATTGCGAACGACGCCGGGTGTCCAGCTTGATCTCATTAGTTAACGGTTAAAAGTCAGTATTTTATTGGCTATCCGTAGTCGGGCGGAGCCACCGTACGTTTGCAGTGTCGGTCTGTGACCGCAGCAAAGCGTTCTGATGGCTGATCATGGCGGCCAACGCACAGTGGGTCCTATTTCGTGAGAAGCAATGACGCCTCCCAGCGCTTGTGCACGAAATTTGTTCGGGCAAAGTGACAATATCAGTCTCTTGCCATTTTATCTTGGTGATGTGTTACACAAATAAATGTGTGAATTGTGGGTGGCTAAAATAAGTATTTTTGGGTTATGTAGCATGGGGACTCTTCCCTTAGAATATGTGTCGAATTCAACGCTGCACCCGTGACGTTGTGGAACGAAACACCTCACGAGGTGTTAATATGCTCCATTCACCTTCTCACCTGTGGCACAGAAACTATGGAATTGAGTCAGGATCAGCGAGCACTAAACACGCCAGAACACAACGTTGCCAAACTGGGCGCCGGCCGACGTTGACAGAACGGCGAGGTGTCGCCTTTTCATTGATCAAGAGAAGCCGGTGGAGACCGACCAATTGCAGAGCGGTGGACTTCTCCAGGTGTCGGTGGAATTATCTCGGCATGTTTCCTGCGGAGCTATGGAACTATCGTCCATAGTCCCGGGTCCCATCCGGCTCCACTCATCAGCCGTCTCCTTACATGCCCTCGGCTACAGCGCTGCTCCCTGTTTCGGCGTAAGTCGCCGAGTATAGATAGTGTATTGTAAAGCTGTCCCTTTTTTAGACCAAATAGCTGCCCGGCCCGTAATCCATATTTGGAAGTCCCGTCCCCGCAAATAAATTTTCCCGGAAAAGCTGACTGCGCCTGTTTCAATTATTTGGCGTGTTTTATGTAGTAGCCAGTATTTCAGGTGCACCAACTTATGTATAATGAAGTATTTAGACGCGGGCCCGTGTCACTTAATTAACGTAAGTAAAAACTAGAAAACTACACCCGTTTCTTGCATACATGTGGTTCACTTACACCAGAACTTTTCTCTTTGTGACTTCAGACATCCTCTGATTTAGACACAGAGCTTCACTTTCTCCGCGCCAACAATGTGTTGTTTGAGATGAGCCAAGATGTGACCTATGCCCAAACCTCCATTTCCAAACCTGGATCACCTTTGTTCGTGACTATTATGTATGCACGTGCCTAGACAGTGCATTAATCAGTGCTCTTGTGCAAAATGTTCATCGGCCTAATGCCGATGCCTGGTATAACCACGTTTACCCACTAAAGTCTGAAGAGCCTGCATCATTGACCAGCCGCTCGCCTCAGCAGACGTGCCAGAATGCCGCCAAAGCCTCATCTGAGAAGGGGCACCATCATCAGGCACGTGTTTAGATCACCACGGGAGCGGATGGCCCTGACTTGCGTGGTCACCTGCTGAAGAACACAGCAACTGCTCGTCTGTTTAATTCAACGTTAATTACATTGGAGAGCACCGAACCGATGGTGTATGGGGCTAGGCAGTGCTGGCTCTCACTGGGTCCCTGTGTGCAATGAATTATAACAACAACACGCAGAGTCAGTTTCATTTCAAAAAGAGCATACCAGGTGGCTGGAGATCCTTTTTTGCGACCAAATTTTTCCGCAGGTTTGAAGACAGGTAGACGAAGATATGTTGACGTAAATTAAGGCAAGAAGATTTGACGTTTCCCACAAAAACCTGCAGTTAGCAAACAAGTGCATCTTGAGCGTTCGCGCATCTTGTTTTGCGTCGACGTCGTGACGTCACATTCGTCTGCAGCTCAAATATTCACGAAATAAATCCCTTTCCGGAATAGTTGCAATACATTCCACGAGACGTATGTGTTAATGCCGAGTAGATGACAAAAGACCGAACAGGATTTGAATAGTCAAACGTACGATAACCACCCGAGCACCACGGGGCAGACCCAGCTTACAGCGGTACCCAACAGGAAGAATGAAACACCGGCGTTGTCAGAACCATTAATCAATCATGGCTGCTAGTTGTGGCAACGTTGGCAAGAAAAATGACAAGGTAATAATGAGAGCTGCCATGGAGTATGTCAAGTAATTAACCAGTTGAACGCATTCACACATCGATGCTAATCCAGTATACACAAGCCGCCGATGCTCCTGCCACCAGCGGCGGAAGGCGTAACTCACTGATGTAGGTGGTGTTTCATGCCACCAAGCAAATGAAATTTGAGTTGAACGCTCGAGTTGCTGTATGTTGCGTGGCGTCATTGCCCTGTTGCGGTCTGGTCTCCCGCTCGTGCCGTCATTAGTTGGCGCTGCCTGAGTGCGGCAGCTCCTGTGGCGTTGGCCATTGACTACAACTTTCCTGACATAATCCTTTGGCGCTTTCCTGTGCATCGGTGAACGGTTTGTGTGCCTTCTGTCGCCGCTGGCACCGGCTCCCCCGCTTTAGGGGGCTTTTCTCTGGTCTTGTTCCAGGTGGGCTTCATGAACAAGGAAGTTGGCGGCGGCGGCGACTGCAGCGGTGCATGTTGAAGTATCGCTGCCGGGCCGCTGCAGTGGGGCAGCAAGAGGCATCGAGTGCGGCGAGCAGCTGACCAAGCCGTGACGGCGGCCCGGCTGCCCGCCGCTGTCGCCTGCCGGCCGTCGGCCTGATCCGGCTGACAGCAGTGAGGCAGTCGGGTGTGGCGAGAACTCCCGCGCATCAAGTGTCACTGGTGCCGGTCGGGCTAGGACGGACTGATTCGGAGCGCGGTGTCGCTGGTGGAGGCGGCCTCGCTCTCGGCCAAGCCGTGCGCCTCGTGCCGTATGCTGACCGACTTTGTGCAGTTGAAGGCCGGCGACGTCGCGACACGGCACGGCGCCAGCAGTGAGGTGGGTCAGGCTACAGCGTGTCGAGTGTGCAGTAGCCGGTTGGTAGACGCGGTGCGGGCGCGGGATGACCTGCATGAGCTGCGCCAGTGCCTTACGGGCCCGGGCGCCACCGGTCGGTCGGCATCGTCGACCGGCGCCAGGCCGTCAGCCGCAGCAAGCCCGGCGGCGACCGCGTCGGCGCCGGACGGATCCTCAGCTTCGACGGCCGGCTGGTGGCACAGTCGCCGGCTCCACGCCGAAACGGCCGAAACGGCCGAACAGTGCAGAAGAGAGCCGCCACGGACCGCGGTGCCGCCGTCAGCCGCAGGACACAGCTCGTCCGTTGGACGGCGGCCACAGCGCGGAGGCGCGCAACGCTCGGCGTGATGGACCACGATCAGGAATAGCAGGACGCGCCCCAGGACCAGACACGCTCCTCGGAAGAGGGGAAGGGGATGGGCTCCTCCTTTATAATGAGCAGCCTGCGAACCTCCTGTCGTCGGCATGGGCTGGCGTTCGCTACCGGTAGTCAGGTGCTGCGGCATCTCGGCCAGCCCCAGCTGCTGCAGCTGGGGCGTGGGCCCGTCCGGCGCCGGGACCGGCATGAGCGCGTTCAGCGTAGCAGGGGTGGATCAGGCGAGGGCGGCTCCTGGTGCGCAGCCGGCGTCCGCGCAGCCGACACCGGAGGCGCAACAGCAGCCGCCGGCAACGGAGCCGCGCCACCACTGGCACCACAGTCAGGCCTCCGAACTGGTGTGTGTCCGTGTCTCAGGGCGGAAGCACGGCACTCCACGGAACCCAGCGGAAATGAGGCGCGCCTTCACTAGCGGCGATACCGTTGCGATGCAAGTTGTAATACCATTGCAATACGCAATCCTCCGGGCCGGATCGGAAGCTGCCGATCACTGCTTCGGACCTGCACCCACTGCCACCGGCCACTGCGTCGGGCGTCCCGGGGAGCTGGAGTCGCTGAGAGATGGGTGTGGCCACTGGGTTCGCCGCTAGTGAAGGTGAAACCCCGTGTGGATGGGGACGGACCGTTGTTGGCCACAACGAGGACCGACTAGCCGTCTGTAGTAGTTGTGCCCGAGTGGAGTCACATCACAGCGCTGATGGTGGACGAGGGGCATCGTCGATGTTTCCACCAGGGCGTCCGCGTCACCCTTGCTCTTTTCTCTGCCGTGTATTTCATTCACAGGAGGACCATGCACAGGGTCTTCGGCACATGCGGTAGGTGTCGGAGCCACAACGGACTGCCTCATCGGTATGTGGGGAGCCTTTTGCCACCATTCCAGGTTTATGTCCGTGTCTATATATTTCGTAACTTTCCACAAGATCCAGTGGCTTTTTAGAAGTTACACGTCACCATTGATGAAAACGGGCATAAAAGAGACAATGTGAAACCTAGTAAAAAATAACATAGCACGTCACACACCGGTCAAGGGACCATCTCGGTGAATCACACTATTGCGTTCACATTGTGGCATCACATCACACACAATCGAACTCACCCACGCACCCACTCATGTGCCAACATTCGCCTCACTCAGTAGAAACTCCATAGGTTGGCGCTTGAAGCGGCCTCTGAACATTGCGTAAGTCGGGCGGCAAGCAGTTAAACAAATCCGATGCTCTGTAGCTAAATCGGCGAGTGCCAGAGTTGCTCACCGCTCGGGGGCGCCTCAGCTGGTTAGCCTGTCGCGTTTCATGAGTGTGCTCAGTACGTGTGAACATCGCGGCTATATCTGGTGGCTGACTCGTGAGTAAGACGCTTTTAGGCAGGCACAACATATAATATCTGACGAGCTGATCAGCACTAAGCCATCGTAGATCCCTGACAACATTCGATATTCGGTCACACCTTCTCCTTCCACTCACAACCCGCGCACAGAGATTCACGACTTTTTGCACGCGATGTAGCTAGGTGGCTCCGTGAGTACCATACAGTGCTATACAGTAGCTAATGGAGGAAAGAACTAGAGTTCGGACCATGCGAACGAGGGTGTCTCTTGGTAGTACATGCTTGGCATGGAACAGAGCCATCAGAGCGCCCGTCGACCTGGCAACAAGCTGGTCAATGTGCGGTTCAAGTGCGAGATTTCTGTCCATCACCACACCAAGGTTTTTGACAGTACTGCTTTCAGTGATGACAGCTGGCCCGAACTTGACATGCACAGGAGGCGTATGACGCAGCATAGCCTTCGTCCCGAAAACCATTAACTGTGTTTTTGTTGTATTGACTTTCATAGAGTGGTTGTTAAACCAGTCCAATACAATTGACAAGGCACTCTCCATGGTGCGACAAGCTGTTGCATTGTACTTTTCTTTCCAGTAACCAAAATATGTGTGTCATCGGCATATTGTATCACTGTAGCGCCTTTTGAATATGACGCTAGATCGTTCGAGAAAATGGAATATAGGGGCGGCCCGGGTGCGGTACCCTGAAATACCCCCATCCCATTTGGAAGACTACGAGAGCGCGCAGTATGCCCTGAAGGATATCTGACCTGAACCTGTTGGGTATGCCCGCAAAGGTAGCTTTCAAACCATTTCGTGTCGATATTGTATATCTTAAGCTTGGATAAGAGAAGCTGGTGGTCCACAACGTCAAAACATTTTGACATCTACCAAAACAAGCACAGCGATCCCCCCAGCATCCATCGCGGTGAGTATTGTATCAGTCACTACAGTAAGTGCGGTCTCTGTTGAAAAATTCGTACGATATCCGTGCTGTGTATGCGAAAATAAATCATGCTCGTTAAAATATGAACCAAGTTGATGATGAACAATACGCCCGACTATCTTTGCTATCGCTGGTACTGCAGAGATTGGCCTAAATTTTGTAGGCCGTTCAAATCACTGATTTTCGGGAGCGCTGTGACAAGAGCGTGTTTCCAGGCGCTGGGCGCCGTTCCGTCAATGAGACTGCTATTGATGACGTCAAGTAGGGGACAGCCGACACCACGAAAAGACTTTGGAAAGAGCAGCGTCCTAAGATCATCTAACTCACAGGACGTCGTCGGGTCCATCGTAGACATAGCTGCAAGCAGCTCATCGCATGACAGGACGCACCTTAAATGAGCAGGTCATAACTCGGGGGAGCCTGACTGGCAAAGCCGTGCCTCGGTTCGGCACGCTGGCGGCAGTCGTATAAGAGCAGCGTCCTAAGATCATCTAACTCACAGGACGTCGTCGGGTCCATCGTAGACATAGCTGCAAGCAGCTCATCGCATGACAGGACGCACCTTAAATGAGCAGGTCATAACTCGGGGGAGCCTGACTGGCAAAGCCGTGCCTCGGTTCGGCACGCTGGCGGCAGTCGTATGCCGTACCTTCACAAAGTAGTCATTCAGAGTATCAGGATAAACGTTAGGTGTGGCCGACGTACCCTGTTTGCTGCCAATGATCGATTTCACGCACCGCCACATGCCGGAGTGACCTGCCTCGGAAATCTGCTTCCTAATCTGATCGCGACAGTCCCGTCTAATAGCTGCCCGTGTGTGCTTGTGGAGTGCCTTGTACTCAGCACGCGAACAGCACGCTAGAGCGACGCGGCGACGAACCATCAATACACGCGTATCAGCTGAGACAGGCGGGGCGGATTGATTGCGCAGTTTAATGCGCCGGGCAGGCGCGACGGCGTTCAAATGGGGTGTAAACACCACTAGAAGAGTCCCACTTCTCAGACGTCGTCGCACTTCCATAGACGAGAGACCAGTCGGCTTTCACAAGCAAATCATTGAAATAATCAATCAACGATTCAGGCAGCGGGATGTGATGACATTGGTTTGGGGTTTCTCTTTCGATACTTTCAGCAATATTCGCGTGAAGTCATGCGGACTACCGTGACAGGCGGTGACACCACAGCGTTGGATGAGGTCCCTGTGATTTGTGATCGTAACATCTAAGAGCGAGCCAGCAGGACTGTACATTGGGTAGGAGTCGTTACAAATATGCAGATTGTAAGACCGTAACAGTTGCATCAATTTCTGATAGCCAGTGCGTGTGCTCGAGCCAATCAGGTTGATGTTTAAATCACCGGCGATCACTATTGGGCAGTGATGGGTGGACATTACATATTGTAACTGGTTCTCCGAATCATCGAGAACATCAGACACCTGCCGGGCTGTGTTAGTGGATGTCGGTACAATGACCCGAAAATAATCTGTTTTGCTTCGGCGGGTTGAACAAGGGTCTGAATAATCTCAAGATTTGATGAACCAACGGCAGTATGAGGCGTTTTCAGAACAGTCACATCAAAGCCAGGTCAGGGCCGTGTCGGCCCGTCTGGATGTTGGTGAACGACTGCTCCATTCGCTCGTACGCTGACGGAAGACAACCAAGATCTCGACCTTGATGATCACGGGTGTGCTACGTTTCGTGCTATTGACCTCCAGCTGGCGCGAAGCCAGAGCGCCGACATGATCCCGTCACGTCAGACGTTACTGTAGTAGTCACTGCAGAAGCCGTCGACGTGTGGCGGGTTGCCGGATCCGACACTGGCTGGCTGAATGCGTGCAGGTGCTGCGGTGCTGGAGCAGCCCCGTGGCCGACCCACCCGTGTGCCGGCGGTTGGCGAGGTCATTTTGGTCCACGGCGGAGGCCCTCGCGGCTGGTGACCCTCGGCCAGGGTGGCTCCGCTCATCAAAGGACCGGATGGTCGCTGCCGTGCCGCGGCAATTCTGCTCCGCGGAAATATCACTCGCCGACCCACCGCCAAGCTGTACCGGCTGGAGGCATCGCCAGACACCACCTGTGACCGTGACGCGGACCAGAGCCGGTCACCGTGTGGCACGCTTCCGAGCGGTGTTTAGCGCGGCTCGGCACCGAACGAGCGCGGTGATGCGCGAGCAGTGGTGCCGCCCAGGCGCGGGCGTGCGCGTACCGTGACGCCGGTGGACGGTCGACGTGACGTGGTGGCGCCGACCCAGCTGCTGGGTCCAGGTGTCGTGACTGTGTCGTGAGTGCAAAATAAAAGTAGCTTCTGTGCTCCACTTAGAGAAAGCTATGTTTGCTAGTCCACGAAATCTCTCAGGTAAGAAGTACCAAATAACCCAACGATGGGACATGTGCGCCACTTTTCGAGAGCGCTCCTTAACTTGATGGATGGTGGATGGATGGAGCCTTTACTAACGGATGAGTACTTGGAAGCGGCAGGCTGCGCCTGGCCGGCGGCGAGCTCTCCGGCGGCGCCAGCTGAGCTGAATGTGACGTATGGTGTCACTGATGGATGGACGAGGCCGCATGGAAATGATGTGTTCGGAAATGTGGCCGGAACAGATCGACAGGACGGGAGTCACAGTGACCTTTAAAGGACTGGTAATGTAACCGGAACAAGACATAGGTAAAAGTATGCGACTGAAACTGAGCAGCGCGAGCAAAATTCATGTTTTGTTTCTGGGACTCGTAAGCGACGTGGCATGCAAACGCGTACATCAAGCACAAGCACACCGGCAAAATAATCCAGCCCGACTGCCGTTACTATTTTGCTGCTTTAGAAGGATGCAAGCCGTGATTGTAAGGCATAATCCATTGCGACTTTCACATCGAAATTCCTGGAGACCTGATCTGGTTAAGAGTCTCGGATCGTTCATACGTCGTTGCTTCTTCATACTATTCTGCTGTTTAGAGAGAAAATCGAACGTACAAACGCGACAAGTAGCATTGTCGCCCAAAAGTAGCATTTCACAACCTGGAGCCAATGAAAAGGCGCAGTGGTCTAACGTTGACTGAATCGGCATAGGAAAAGAACTTCTGGTTTTCCGTCGGTTATCGCGGAAGTTACGCCCTTTCTTTGTTGCAGGCTGGATTTGTTCCGCGCTAGAGCCTATTTTTGGGAAAAAACATCTTCAATTTTGAGTGATTGTTATTGTAAGAGATATTCCATTGCCACTTTCACATCCAAATTCCTGGAGACTTTCCTGGGTTAAGGATCACCCATCCTTCACGCGTCTTTGCCTTTTCATACAGTTCTGCTGCTTAGGGGAAAATCGAACGAAAAAACGCGACAAGTGACATTCGTCGCCCTAAAGTTACAACTAGGAGCCAATGAAAAGGGCGCGTTGCGGACATGTCCTCGACGTTGACTGAATCGGCGTAGGGAAAGAACATCCGCTTTTTCGTTGTTCGCGCAAGCTACGTTCTTTCGTCGTTGCATATTGGATTTATTCCGCACTTGCGCCTATTTAAAAGAAAAAACATCTTAGATTGTGAGCGACTGGTACCGATTGCAAAATACAATCTCGAGGCATGACGGGATCAGTATTGCGAATTTGGAAGTGAAAAACTCTAAAATGAAAACATTGCAATTGTGCTGTACATTCTTTGCATCTCATAATGGTACGTCGGCGGAGACGTGGAGCATCGCTCACGCCCGTGCAGGCGTTTACATGGCTAGACGCTGACACGGAGCACAGCCGAGGCCAGGTGCAGCGGCAGCGACGCAAAGCATGGCCCGCACCAGCGCAAAACACACCCAAACATGGCTCACGTCCGTAGCGACACCGACATGCAGACAGAATTCGATTGCTCAGAGGCGGTAAAGGTTGCGTGCCGATGGGTCTCATAGGCTCGGAACATGGGAGTATATGCAGCCAATATTGGAGGTGTCGGACGTTTTTGGTGAAGTTTGACTAAACCAACCGACACCATGTTTTGAAAAGGAGAGAATTCCAACAATGGTGCATCACTAAGTGAAAGCTTTGTAGTGATCTGCTCCATCCGCTTGGAGATAGGGATATTTCCACGCCGATTTTTCCACGCTTTGAAATTTTGGTGACCTTTGACCTATCCCAAGGTCACCATGTCCTGGGAAAAACAAGCTGTCGACCAGGCGGCGCGAAATGGTGATCGTTTCATATTGATCGGTGCCGTAGGCTCGGAGCATAGGATTGTCAACAGATTTTGGCGTCTGTTTAATATCTCCCGTTCTTGGAGGCCTACGCAAACAAATTGAATGCACTGGCCGCAAACAAGAATTAACATTAGAAGTGCCGAAAAAGAAATGTACATGTATATGTATATATATATATA